TTACAATACTTCATTGAGTACAAATACTGAAGTTACCCCTATACCTGGGAATAAAAGTGTTATTTGCTTGGGTTAAACCAATTTACACTCTGTGTTCCAAAACTTTGAAACTACTGCTTCCCAACACTTTCATCAAAGATGACAGAAGCAATAAAAGGTATATGCCTCTGCTTTTTTTACAAAGGCATGTTTTTCATCTATACTCATCTAATGAACTATCTAAAAAACTGGCATAGACAATGAAATGAAAAACATTTAAGTAATTGCTGTTCTGAATGGATGTAATATCTCCTTTTTGAAATATTTGGTGTAATGTCATTCTGTATTTTAAACTTAGACTTTGAAAAGATGCCTCAGAAGATACTCAGAAGCATACTCAAATTATTTCTATGTTTTTGAAAGCTGAGACTGAGAGGGAGGTCCAGTTCTATAACCTTAGAGAAATATGAATAAATAACATGCAGTTAGAAAAATCCTTGGGCTTTTACACAGACATGTCTCATTTATTATTTATCATTAGTAGGACTACACAGATGCACAAAAATTAAACTGGATAGCCAGAAAATAGATTACATTCATTTGATAGGTTGTGACCCAGTTTCTGCAAGTGGGTGGCAGAGAAAAGAGATGATTTCCAGTTGATGAGTCTCACCAGATTCCTGAGTCAGAATCACAGAACAAATTCAGCTGGGGTTAGGGAGACAGACAGCAGAAAGACAGATGCAACCCAGTGCTACCAGCTGACTCAAAATGAAGCTGCATTATACCACCTGCTAGTTATCATACTTGCAGCTCTCTCCTCTGTGTTCATCCCTTGTGGAGAGCACAGCTTGCGCCAGGGCTGTTTTACCTCAATCTTTCTTTGAGGTGTCCCATAATTAGCTGATGCCAAGTCTTTTACCTGGCTTCTGTTTGTGAAAGAACATACCTTTGAATTAGAAAACATAATTTTTAAAAGATATCATTCTATTGTAAGAGCAAGAGAGAAAAAATAATTTGTACCTCACTCCTACTGTCTTTAATAAAATCCAATTCATAGAATCATTTAGGTTGGAAAAGACCCTTAAAATCATTGAGGCCAAAGCGTAACACTACTATGTTCACCACTAAACCATGTGCCACATCTACAGGTCTCTTAAAATATCTCCAGGGATGGTGACTCAGCCACTTACTTCCCTGGGGCAGCCTGTTCCAGTGCTTAACAAATCTTTCAGTCAAGAGATTTCATGGTACTCTCATTTCATCTACCTGTTTTGTTCATTCTTATTTATTTGTACCTACATTCTCAAACCCATTCCTAACTTTACAGTTAAAAAGTCAAAAATTATTTTTAAAAATCTACTTCATGGACTTAACTTAGTTATTGAATTGGTTTCTCTTTCAATTAGAGCATTACTTTTTAGAAGAAAAGCATACACTAAGATCTTAAAGATTAGCAGTGAAGAATTTTTCACTCATAGCAAAAACCCTGACAAACTATCATATCCTGCTTTATATTCCCAAACTATTAATTGTTCTTGGTTCTACCTAACACAATCCAATCGGTGCTGCATTTCCATTTCTTTCAAACCACTACCCTTCACAATGTTAGAAACCACTCTTTCTTTAATCCTTCTTTGCTTTACTCAACTGACACAGTATAAGGATGAAAACTCTACCTTAGCAGAGTTTCCCTCCCTTTGCCATCAGTAAACCCATCTTTCAAATTGCTAGAGTGAAACCCCACCAACCTCTGCTTAGAAAACATTAATTTTCCCTGGTTTTGAGATTTCATGGAGATACCAGAATTTTTTTAAAAACATTCAAACTTACTCATGATGGAACATTCCTCCAGATAGCTATGGTGTTAGTTACAGACACTTTAATTATAGTTTTTAGTTTTTTCTTATTTCCTCCTATTACATGTTCCATTAATAATTTTACTGGATTAGTAAAAATTGCAACTATTAACCTTTCTTCCAAAAATGAAAGGAAAGAAACCCAAAGTTTTCCAATAGTAGCCAAGAAAGAGAGATCCAATTTAAAGTGAAGTTCCTGTTAATTTTGAAGCTTCTGTATACTCAGTCAAATTCAGCACAGTAATTTTGGATTTATGGTGAGAAACAAAGACAAAATTCAAATCATCTGCCTACCAACTACCTCTTTCCTCCCCAGGCTCAACTTCATTCCTTCACTCCCAGCTCATCTACCCCACAGTGGCACAGAGATGGGGAATAGGGCTTGTGGTCAGCCCACAACAGCTCCTCTCTGCTCTCCCTTCCTCCTCCTTTTCTCCTGCTCCCGTGTGGGGTCCCTCTTGCTGGATACAGTCCTTCCAGATGAACCTGCTCCTGTGTGGGCTCCTCTCCACAGACTGCAGTTCTTGTCAGGAGCCTGCTCCAGCGTGGGCTCTGCAGGGGCCTCAGGGGAGTCTCCAGTCCAGCGCCTTGGGCTCCTCCCTCCTTCTGCTCCCACCTTGGTGGCTGCAAGGCTGTTTCTCATGCTTTTCCCCTTGCATCTCACTGCTTGTGCAGTATTTTGCCCTTTCTTAAAGACGCCTGCCTGGAGGCACCATCAGCTTGGCTGAAGGGCTCAGCCATGTCCTTCAGGAGCCAGCTGGAACTGGCCATGTCCAGCACGGGGCAGCCCCGTCCCCTCCTCACAGAGGCCTCCCTGCAGCCCCCCGCCACCAGCACCCCAACCCTTGCACACCCAGTCTGGTCCTACATCTCCTTCAGTATTATTTAACCCCAGTGTAACTTCATTGGTTTTAACAGTCACAGTCCCAAATGTAGAAGCGTATATTGCTGTTTCTTTGCTATCGGTGTGAGGCCAGCGCTTCATGGTGTTCCATGCTAGGTACCATTTGGGCAGGTGCTGCACATTTTATTGGGTTCACAGATGAGAGCAGAATGCAGACACAATGCCGTCTATGAGTGGATCTCCTTCCACTCCAAGGGTTTTTTTTCCTTATCACATTTAAAAGGACTCCATACAGTGGAGATGTTACAGGTTTCCAGTTTCTTCTGCAATAATAAAACCTTCAACAATCTTTTACAAGAATCAAATAAGCTAAATATCAAATTTCTGGGTTACAATTTGGAACACGAGTGCAAGGGGAGTCCTGTGCATTTCACAAACCCATCAGTATTTTCTACAGCTGTGATGAGCTCATAAAACGTATTTCCACACTTTCCAAAAATATGACTAACAAAGATTTAAAAGCTTAAGCTTTAAAAACTTAAAAATTTGAATGGCATGGGTCACTCCCCTTCTGTTAAATCTAATCTCTATAATCTATAAACAGTGCTTCTCCTGTGGCAGCGTAACAGCATAAATGGGAAGCAAAGCCTGCTAATCTATACATCTGACAGGCAGTGAGGCAAACTTGATGACAGACATCAATAAAAGTATCACTTTCCTGTTGAAGGGTGAACTAACACAAACCAATGACTAGAGGGTGGCTCAGGAATCTGAAAGTGAGGGCTGTTCCTGGTTAACTGCTTGGTTAGAATGTGAATATTTAATTAGCCTTTACAACATCAGACCCATTAAAGAAATATATGTCTACATCACACAAGTCAAAAGGTTTATCTGAGCCCTTATGGCCCAAAGGGACTAGTACAGTGAAGATAGCATTCACAACTCTCAATCCAGAGTAAAATCTCTTAATGGAACTTCTGCCACAACTTTGTCTCTTCCCAGTATTAGTCAGGTATTACTAGCAAATTATCATTACACACACAAACACACATACATATACCTAATAATATGTACATAGTTCTACTTGTCAAATATTATCGGGTATTACTGATTAATGACAATACAGTTAAGAAATAGAAGAACATAGAGTTCCCTGACACATGTTCATAGCCCGCTTTACTAACACTTCAGCAAATACTGAATGTCTTTCCACCTTGTCTGAAGTAAATGGAATATACATAGAGTGCTTAAATTCTCTGCTGTACAGGGTCCTTTTCCAAATTATTTCAAAGAGAATGGGGCGACAGACCTCATTCCCAGCAAGGATCCACTGTCAAGAAGTCCTGAAAATAACCTTGTCCTTGCAGTTGAATTTTACAATGACAGTAAATTTCACAGTAAATTAATCAGTTACCTTCCTCAGTAATGTAAATAAATACTGTTGCTCTTCCATACAGTCTCATTAGGCCAAATCACATGATATAGCATTATATGGGCTTCTTGATAAATCCTGAGAGCATTATTAGCCAAATCTTTACACAGAAGCTAAAACAGTGCTCTTACAGCTATTCCTTGCTCAATTTTAAAGTTCATTAATCTTCATGATTTAAAAATATGCATTTCAAAGAGTACCTCTGGTGTTTAAATATTCTAATTTACTAGACTTATTGATAACTAGGGTTAGAGCTGTGCTATGTGAAAACTCCAGAAATGCCAAATTATATCTTACTGCTTATGTTGTCAGATAAAATTGATACCAGTTTTAGCTTAATACTTTTAAAATTGTGTGTAAATAATTGTTTTTAATTTGCTAAAACCAAAAGAGGAGTTTCAGGTTGTGGTAAAAGAAGCAATAATAGTTTCATGATAAATCCCAAGGTGCATCAGATAATTATTTTGGCACTGGATTCATGAAGCATTATTTATGTTTATAACTGGTTCAGGATGCCTCTGTGAAACTACTCAACGGACTAAAGTTTTATTCAAATACATTGTATGTAATAAGTCTAATACCTCTGTTTCACAGAAAGCAGTTTCAAATATTTCCTCTGACTGAAATAACACCTCCTGTGATGTGTTTCAGTTTTGGCCAAAGGAGCTGGGTGGTTGCCTGTAGATGCCACTTACACTGCTGCACCTGACCACTATAATGCTGAAGTGGATTCATTCTGTATGGTTTACAGGTAATAGGGATACCTTTTTAAGTTTATGGCATTCTGCTCAGATAAATCTGATGTATTCTGTACTCCAGAGACAGTACAGACATAGATAAAAAAGTTTGATTTTAAAAAAGAACATATTTCAAAGCCATATATTACCTTAGCCAGATGAGTATTGATCCATTTTGTGAAAGTCCTTTTCTGCACAGACTCTTAAAAAAAAAAAAAAAAAAAAAGATTACACATTGCTTAATACTTTTGGCTTTATGTGATTGAGGAGTAGTATTTCCTAGTGACAACAAATGCATTCTGCATTTGCCAGAAATGCCACTACAGTTTCTTGAGACTGTTAATTTTGCCAGTAACTACCCATAAAAACCACTTCATATACTTACAATGCTCTGACACTTACCTGCTTGAAGAGTTTCACAGCAAAGTTCAAGTCTTAATGAATCAATGACCAGTAAGACACCATTTCAAAACTGAATGCCAAGATAAATTTAATTTCTGAGTCCATACTATATTTACCCAAGGTCTGAGCACTTAGAACTTCTCTGTACTTTTTAACTAGAGTCCATGTCTCTCACATTTGAGTTGCTTTTATGTAGAAAGTCAGCCAAAGACTTAGAAAAAATACTAAGCATGTATATTTGAAAAATTTTTAAATCTTGAATTAAAGATTTGAAATTGCATTATCAAACCTATTTGTGCTCTGGGGGAACCCATTAGCTAGTTCAGGCAGTTTCTATACTGCTGCTTACTACCTCCCTTAGTCCTGTCATGAAGCACATGTCTGATTTATGCTGAATTTCACTGATTCTCAGATAGTACCTCAGGAACCATTGGCAGCTGCATAGACAAAAATAGCTCCTGAATTAGCTCCTCCAACTTCAGCAGCCAGGGTCATGGCTGAAGAGGGAAGTGAATCTCAGCGCTATAACCAATCCACAAAGTCCTGTCCCTTCCTTGTGAGGAGGAATCACAGAATCATCTAGGTTGAGAAAGACCTTGAAGATCACCCAGTTCAACCATTAACCTAACACTGACAGTTCCCAACTACACCACATCCCTCAGCGCTATGTCAAACCGACTCTTAAACACCCCAGGGATGGGGACTCCACCACTACCTTGGGCAGCCCATTCCAACACCTAACAACCCCTTCTGGAAAGAAATGCTTCCTAATATCCAGTCTAAACCTTCCATGGTGCAATTTGAGGCCATTCCCTCTTGTCCTATTGCTTGTTACTTCATTAAAGAGACTCATCCCCAGCTCTCTGCAACCTCCTTTCAGGGAGCTGTAGAGGGCGATGAGCTCTCCCCTCAGCCTCCTCTTCTCCAGACTAAACACCCCCAGTGCCCTCAGCCGCTCCCTGTACGACCTGTGCTCCAGACCCTGCACCAGCTTCGTTGCCCTTCTCTGGACACGCTCGAGTCATTCAATGTCCTTTTTGTAGTGAGGGGCCCAAAACTGAACACAGGAATCGAGGGGCGGCCTCACCAGTGCCGAGTCCAAGGGTCAGATCCCTTCCCTGTCCCTGCTGGCCACGCTATTGCTGACACAAGCCAGGATGCCATTGGCCTTCTTGGCCACCTGGGCACACTGCTGGCTCCTGTTCAGCCAGCTGTCAATCAGCACCCCCAGGTCCCTCTGTGACTGGCAGCTCTCCAGCCACTCCTGCCCAAGCCTGTAGCCCTGCTGGGGGTTGTTGTGGCCCAAGGGCAGACCCCGGCATTTGGCCTTATGGAAACTCCTGCAGTTGGCCTCAGCCCATGGCTCCAGCCTGTCCAGGTCTCTCTGCAGAGCCTCCCTACCCTTGAGCAGATCAACACTCCCACCCAACTGGGTGTCATCTGCAAACTGACTGAGGGTGCACTCGATCCCCTTGTCTAGATCATCAATAAAGATGTTAAACAGGAGTGGCCCCAACACTGAGCCCTGGGGGACACCACTCATGACCGGCCACCAGCTGGATTTAACTCCATTCACCACAACTCTTTGGGCCCGGCCATCCAGACAGTTTTTTACCCAGCGAAGCGTGTGCCCATCCAAGCCACGAGCAGCCAGTTTTGCCAGGAGAATGCTGTGGGAAATGGTGTCAAAGGCCTTGCTAAAGTCAAGGTAGACAACATCCACAGCTTTTCCCTCATCCAATCAACAGGTTGCCCTGTTGTAGAAGGAGATCAGGTTTGTCAAGCAGCACCTGCTTTTCACAAACCCATCCTGACTGGGCCTGAGCCTCTGGTTGTCCTGCATGTGTTGTGTGATGGTACTCAGGATGAGCTGCTCCATCCGCTTCCTGGGCACCAAAGTCAAGCTGACAGGACTGTAATTTCCTGGATCATCCTTCTGACCCTTCTTATAGATGGGCGTCACACTGTCCAATTTCCAATCTGTCGGGATCTCCCCGGTCAGCCAGGACTGCTGGTAAATGATGGAAAGTGGCCAGGCGAGCACCCCAGCCAGCTCCTTCAGCTCCCTCCGGTGTATCCCGTCTGGTCCCATAGACTTGTGTGTGTCTATATGATACAGCAGGTCACTGACTGTCTCCTGCTGGATTGTAGGGATCTTGTTCTCCCAGTCTCTGTCTTCTGGCTGAGGAGGCTCAGTACAACTGGTCTTGCTATTAAAGACTGAGGCAAAGAAGGCATTAAGCACCTCAGCCTTCTCATCACTATTTACCATGTTTCCTCCTGTGTCTAGCAAGGGATGGAGGTTCGCCCTACTCTTTCTTTTGCTGTTGACTTATAGGAGCATTTCTTGTCCTTGATTGCTGAAGCCAGATTAATTTTTAGCTGTTTTGACATCATGAAAAAATCAGTTTCAACACATGCAATCATTTCACAACAGGGGCATTCAAGTATTTATGTTGGAGATACTTCTTTCAAAAATAAAAGGAAATATCTATTTAACTGAAAGCCAAATAATGTTATTAACATCATCAGTTCTGAAGGAGCACCTTTATTTGCCTACAGAAAATCCAAATAAATAAAATTGCTGTTAAGTACTTACTTTTTATAAGAACACATGCATGTCCCAAAACCTACAGATGGAAAATCTAATTTCAGTGTCTGCCTTTGCTACTGACTTGTGCAGCACTGAACAGTGCTTTGAGCTCTTTCACATCTGTACATTTCAAAGGAAATATTCTTTAATCCTCTTTAAAGTTGTGAAATAGGTAACTACCAAGTTTGATGCACTACAAATAATAAGCTACCTGATTTACACCCATGCAACGGTGCACCACAATGAGGGTACACAAAGACATAAATTGCCACATAAAAGTCATCAGCCAAAATACTGTGGGACAACAGTGGCTCCCCGACTACATACAAGGTCCCAAGATGTGTGCATTATGACTCAGGGATATTTTGTTTACATATAAGCAATATCTCACATATAAGAAATACCAGATGAAAAAGGATAGATACACTCTCCAGCATCTATTGCTAGATTAGCAAATTTCATGTCTAAGAAAATAATTTTGCATTCTTTATTTGCCTTTTCTTTGATTTCATTGGGCAGTCTGTCAACCATTTTTAAAATATTCATTTTATTCTCAGAATCTACTTGTTGCACTGGCAGGCAAGTTATGAAAAATATCACTCAAAATAGTTCATCGTGCTTCATTCAACACTGACTATTTTTGGAAGGGGGTGTTTTGACTTTATATGTGATAATTGTTTCTACATTCTGGAAAACAGATTTCTCACTGTATGGTTTCTAACCATGAACAAGATGTTTCCCTTGTGACACGCAGTAACTGTCAGCTGTTCTCTGACAAGCAATTACATATACAGGTAGCCCAATTTCAACAGAAGTACTTGCACGCTTGAACTGGGTTATGTTCATTATATGTGTGAATAGGTGTGGGGGTGAAGATCAAGCACACACAAAATCAGTCCATCTCTGGCTTCATTAACACCTCCGTAACTTAAAATTCCCCAGCAACCCCAATACAGCAATGGCATCCCAAAAGAAAAGAATCGGGCCTTTAGAAGCCCAACTTCTGATCAAAGAAATGAGTGAAAATTATTTCCTGATTTGTAGGTCTAGCGCATTTAAGTGATTTAAGAAACAGCCTTCTGACAGGAACTGGAAAGCAGAGAACCACCAGCTCCCAGTTTCTAAATGTTTACCAGCAGGAGACATACTCAGTTTCAGTCGTATCAACAAACAGCAGAAATAGCATTTCAAAATAATCTGTTTCAAGGGAATATATGTGAGCAATATATTCTTTATGAGCCCAAGAGCAACTATCATTAATAAAGTTTCCTTTTTCTTAGCACTTATGTATTAGACTTAAAAGGAACAGATTTTACCACTGTAAAACCTATGTCTGAGCATAACACAAGTAGTGCATTGATTTTACAAATTGCATTATAAATATGCTTTTTACAAGTTTCCCTGGAAGCAAATGTGTTATTTTCACTGAACCGATGTAAATTCTCTGCAGAGGTACCGTTTATCTATACCCACAAGATGCATGTGTCATAGTTTCTTACGCACTCCCCACTTGCAAGGACTGTCAGCTCCTTCTTTGCACCACTTACCCTGCAGGTACTGAAAGGACCCAGGGAGCAGATTTAACGATGTAATATTTCTGCCACCAGCACCTCTGTAGTGAGCCATAAGCACTGCTGCTGCTGCTGCTGCTGCTGCTGTTGTGGCTGCTGAGGCTGCTACTCTTGCCTCTTGCAGAGCGTTGCGTTTCTTTAGAATACAGCCAGAAGTGATCTTTCAAGAACAATCTGATTTTTTTCCTTCACTGGAAATGCAGGCCTCTTACACAAGTCCCTCCACCTGCTCTTACTGGCGAATTCACATGAAGCCAAACCTTAAAAACATGTTTATGTATTCTCGCAGAGACGCAACAGCCAGACAAAGCCAGCTGTATTGGAAGTAGCAGTTCTGCTGGTCTCACTGCCATCATCCTTCTTCACTGTTTTCCTGTGGAAAGATTTTATTATCCGAGCACCAGCCAATCCGCTAGCAGAAACCTCTGATGTCAAGAGACTGAATAATTCATCCAGGGACTGGGACAACCCAACTACACTGCCGATATCCTAAAGCAGCAAGATGTTTAGCTGCAAAAAAAGCGATGCAGCCTTCTCACCAGTGCTTTTGTAACAATATACTGCTCAGTAAGCACAAAAATGGCTGAATGGCATAGCCCTTCTCTAGGTTGTCATACGTATAAAGGAAAGCAGCTTTTA